CTGTTGTTTGTTTCCAAGCACAGCCCGGCAGCAGAGGCTTGCTGTCGCAGGGTCGCCGTCCCTCCGTTTATTTGACTCAGCAAAGACTGTTCTGACTCGGTAAAAAGTGATTTTTCTTCTTTGCACTGTTTATTCAGGTGCCCTGAAGAGGAATTTGTCTTCCGAACAAGTCAGAGCAGATTTTATTGCTCTAGGTAGGTCACCTGACTTTCACTAAATAAAAGTTAATTAATATTTATCACATACAGTAATCTCATATGATTTCTCCCACAGGCCTCAGCGAAGAGAAAGCCAGTTATTTTGCAGAACAGGTATTAATATATCTTTTGCTTGTTTCTGAGCTAGCAAAATGACAGTCTTTGGGTGGGAACTTGTAAAACCCCGCTGTGCTACTGGAATGTGTCAGCGCTTTGGGTATTTTCTGCCAAACCAGCTCAGAATTCTGGACTGAAGATCCTCAGATAACTGACGAGGAGCACTCTGTCTAATGATCCTCCTGGTCTGCCGTGGCCTCTCCCTCTTCGGTGTTGTGATTCCTGCACCTCTGTGTGGCTTCATTTGACTGCTTTCCTGCTTTGCGTGCTTGGAGCCCCGGGGTCACGCAGTTGCACCAACACACGACTCTTTGCGCGATATCGTTACGCTGGACCGGTGTTAAAACAAAAGCAGCGAGTTTCATTTACAGAAGTGACAAGGCAGATGGAAATCCTAGCAGGACTCAAGCATCTTTGAAAGCCCTCCTGCCCGCATTAGTTTGCCCCTTTGCACGCCTCCACTTTGGGCTTCTGCCATCGGTCTGCCCCGTTTCTGACTTACGCTGAGATTACAGGTGACAGAAGCAGAGGCCTCCTGAACTGACCGCTCGTGTGTCTGTTGCTCTTGCAGTGGAAGGTGCATTCCCCCACCCTCACACGCCTGGCTGTTGGGCAGACGCTGATGATTAACCAGCTGGTAGATATGGAGTGGAAGTTCGGAGGTAACAGAGCTAAAACAGAAGTGGGATGGGTTGGGAAACCCAGCAGCAGCGCTCAGCTAACTAACTTTTTCTTTCGCAGTTTAGCTAACAGATTATCTCCCTTCTCTTCTTTCTGACTCACAGTGACTGCTGGGAGCAGCGAACTGGAAAAAGTGGGAAGCATCTTCCTGCAGGTAAATCCCCTCCACCAGAGAGCTCAGGTTGCAGAGCGGTTGCGGGACGAGCTGCGACCGGGCGTGCGGGAAGGGCTGGCTGTGAGAGCAGCGGGAGGAAAGCGAGAGCTCGGAGGAACCGGCTCTGCGGCGGTGCCTCTGCCCCAGTGCTGAGCACCGCTGCCAGCCACAGCCGGCACGCTGCCGGCCGTTTGTCTGCTGAAGCCAGCGTGTGCCACAGGAGCGAAGCCCACTCTGAACAGCTGTTCAGAAAGCCCAACCTAGCCAAGGTCACGCTGCCTTGGGGAGGGAGGGGGCACGCGATCGTTCGGAAGGACTTCCAGAGATCTCCCAATGCCCAAGGAATCTGTTCCTCCAGTGATGCTTCCCGAAAAGCCTGTCAGAGGCGGGTGTGCTTTGCAGCAGTCTGCCCGCCTGACGCTCGCAGCAGACTGCTGAACTTCTCTCTTTCCGTGGTGCTCAGAATGCAGCTCTGAATTCAAACACCTCTGCCTTTTCTTCCCCCAAGCTGAAGCTGGTGATTAAAAAAGGGGGCCAAATGGAAAACGTATATATAGGTGAGTGAACAGTTCTGGAAAAGAAGCGTGTGAGTATGAGAAAGCGGAGCGGGAGCTGCCGGGCGCTGTGGAGTCGGGGAGCTCTGGGTGCGGGCCCGGTGGGGTCGGTGCGGGAGC